TTCATGAAGACTTAAATCATGGCTTAACCACTCACTGTTTTATTCCAAGTGTCATAAAAGAATATATAACACAATAGGAATCCAATGTAAGATTTGTTAAATAAAAGGAATAGTAAAAATACTTTGCTTATGATTTGTCACATTTGGCAAATTAAAATATCATTTGGGGAAAGTCGTCTATGGAGGAATAAAGGTATTAGCAACTTACCTCCCCAAGAAACAACTATAAATCTAGACAAAATTGTCAAAAACAACCACCTTAAGGCTCCCAAAACTGAAAAAAAGCAAACAACAAATTGAGAAGCATTTTTTTTCCCCTCAAGAAAAACTGCTGAACTATGGACAAGAACAGTGAGTGTCTTTGGCATTTTTGCCTGGGGAATGCTCTCACATTCCCTGGCTGATGCTTAGTTTGCATGAAGTGCTACCAGGGTGGGGCTGGCAAGAAAAGCAGCATCTCTGCTGCCAGAGTGTGTCAACTCGAATTGGCAAAGAAGGTGTAAAAAGCCTATCCAGATGCACTGTTTCTAAAAATAGCAAAGAGGGTAGGAAATGATTGGAGGGGGCAAAAAACATACATCTTATTAGCCTAAGGTTGTGATCCTGCTGCAGAAGAGCATCAAGCCGGTGAATAAGCAAGAAATTTAACAGGAAGATTACAGAAATGAGAGAGCCACAGGGTGTACCAGATAAGACTGACACACATCCCTGGCTGAGAGGAGAAGATCAATGGGAAAGATCAGAGAAGGGCTAAGCTCTTCATGCATCTCTCACTGACAGGGAGATTATGTGTACATGCAGAGGAAATCTGAGAGGGTCCATATCCTCTACATATCATTAGTTGACTGCACACAAGCACAGCAAGACCCAGGTGAGCCCAACAAAAAGTAAATGCCAGGACAGATTTCAAAAATGCCCTAACATTGAATGCACTCCCCAACACAGGCAAGTGTGCCTGTAGAAGGTGGAAATCTGACTGGCTCATGATGTTTGAGTACAACTCCTGACCAATCAATGGCTGCTGACTAATTTATACAGACACAGGGGTACCTCTGTGGAAGCAAGACTAAAATATAAAAAGAAAAAAAATGGATACCAGTGGTTGTGACAAATACTGCAAACTTCTAACATTTTACTCAAAAACAAACAAACAAAACCCAAAAAACAAACCAAACAAACAAAAAACCAACTTAGCAACAATCACAAGGTTCAGGTGGGAAATAATGAGCACCCAAAACTGTAGAACTGCTACAGTATATGACCTAAATTGTCCAGTTTTCAATAAAAATTAAGACATACAAAAAAGCAAGGAAAAAAGTATTCAAGAGAAATTTCTCTGAGGAAGCCCATATACTAGATTTGAAAGTTATTATAAAGAAAGAAATAAAACAATGTTTAAAAATTTTAAGTATGACAATAACGACTTATCAAATAATACCAGTAAGGAAAAATCACAGAAAGAGCCAAATGGAAATAATGGATTTGAAAAGCAAAGTAACAGGGCGCCTAGGTGGCTCAGTCAGTTAAGTGTCCCCGACTTCAGCTCAGGTCATGATCTCTCGGTTTGGAGTTCACACCCTGCTTCGGGCTCTGTGCTGACAGCACGGAGCCTGGAGCCTGCTTCAGATTCTCTGTCTTGTTCTCTCTCTCTCCCCCTCCCCCACTCACATGCTCACAAAAAAAAATGAAAGGCAAAATAACTACAAATATATTAGATATGTTCAACAGCAGATGTGAGATGGCAAAAATACACACACACACACATATATATATAGAAAATCAGTAAATTAAATATTACAAGTTTCATGAAAACCTTAAATCTACAGATCCAAGAAACTCAACAAACTCCAAAAAGGATAAACACAAGGGAGAATCCTAAGCACATGACAAAGAGAGAGAAGCAGTGAAAAAAATTCATTGTGACAAAGGTACAAAACAATTAATAGCTGACTTCTTATCAGAAACAGTTAAAGCAAGAAAGTAGTAGAGTGACATTCAATCTACTAAAAGAAAAAAAAGTCAAGAAATCTATATCCAACAACACTGCCCTTTGAAAATAAAGCAAGCAGTCAACAAAAACCACATATTATATAATTCCATTTGTATGAAACATCCAGAATAGGCAATTCTACACAGACAGGACTGGTGGCTGCCTAGGGCTGTGGGAGTTGGGGACAGAATGAGAAATGATTACTGATGGGCACATAATGTTTCTCTTTTGAATGAAAATGTTCTAAAATCAATAGTGGAGATGACTGCACAACTCTGTAAATATACTAAAAACTACTGAATTATATACACTTTAAATACGGTATGTGAATTACATTTCAACAATATTGTTTCTAAAATATGGAGAATCAAGATATTCCTAGATCAATGAAGACTTAAAGAATCATGGCTGAAGATCTTACAGTAAATGCTAAAATTCTTAGTTAAGAACATGACAACCAAACAATAACTTGAGTCTATAAAAAGAAGAAATTAAGACTGACAAACTGGCAAATTTATAGGTAAAAAAGAATTGTATGAATATGTATTTCTCCTCTTATTTTTTTCAAAGATAAAATTGTATAAAATTATAATAGTCTGTTATTGGAATGGTAACAAATGTTGATGAATCCATGTATAGATACATAGATACACGAAAAAAGTGGAGGAAATGGAGCTATACAGGAACTAAGTTGCTATATTTTACTGAATTAAGTCACTATTAATTTATAATACTTAGATGCACAGTATAAACGACAGATCAACATCTTAAGATTACAATTTAAGAAACACAGTTTAAAAAATAATAAATTTAAATAGTATATTAAAAAATATTTAAAATTAGGGGTGCCTGGGTGGCTCAGTTGGTTGTGTCCAACTTCCGCTGAGATTATGATCTCATGGTTCGTGGGTTTGAGCCCCACATCAGGCTCTGTGCTGATAGCTTGGAGCCTAAAGCCTGCTTCGGATTCTGTGTCTCCCTCTCTTGCTCTCTGCCCCTCCCCCACTTGAGTTCTGTCTCCTTCTCTCTCAAAAGTAAATATTAAAAAAAACTTAAAAAGGGAGCACAGAAGGAAGAAAAACAAAAAAAATATGAAACATAAGAACACAGAACAAAACGGAAGATATAAGTCTAACCCTATAAATAATTATGTTAAATGTAAATGGAGTAATCACTTTAATCAAAAGGCAAAGATTGCCAGGGCAATCAGGTACGAAAAAAAAATCAAAGTACCCATACTTGAAAAGAAGTAAAATTATCTTCATATGGAGTTGACATGATTCCATATGTAGAAAATCTTAAGGAATCCATAAACTTTTAGAACCAATAAATGAGTTCAGTAAGATCATGGAATAGAAAATCCCTACATACAAATCATTTATATTTATATATACTAGCAATGAAAAATCCAAAATGAAATTAACTACAATAGCATCCCAAAGAATAAAACACTAATAATTTAGCAAGAAGAGCTCAAGATTTGTACACTGAAAACTACAAAGTATTGCTGATGGAAACTGAAGGTTTAAATAAACAGAGAGATATTCTCTAGTGATAAACTGGAAGACATACTGTTAGGATGTCAATACTATCCAAATGGATCTACTCAATAAAATCCCTATAAAAATCCCAGCAGGCTTTTTTGTAGAAAATTTCATAAAATTTAGATGGAAATGCAAAGTACCTTAAAAAGTCACAATGGTTTTAGAAAAGAACAAAGTCTGGAAACTTAAAATTCCTGATTTTGAAAGCAGATTTGGGGTTGCCTGGGGTTGGTGTGGGAATAGGGACTGAATGCAATGGGCATGAGGCTCTTTTAGCAATGATGTAAATGGTGTAAACTGGATTGTGATGATGGCTGAACAACTCTATAAATTTACTAAAAATCACTGGATCATACACTAAATGAGTGAAATTTAGGGTATATAAATTACACCTCAATAAAGCTATTAAAAACAGTGTTTGTATACAATGTTCACCACAGCTCTATTCTTGTTTGCCAAAAACTGGAACCATTTCAGATGTTCTTCAACAACAACAAAAAAGACTAAGGGGGAAGAAAAGACATAAAAAGGAAAAACAAAACAAAACACAACACCAAAAAGAAAAATTAAAAAATAATGTGTAATGGGGCGCCTGGGTAGCTCAGTCGGTTTAAGCATCCGACTCTTGATTTCAGCTCAGGTCATGATCTCACGGTTTGTCAGATCAAGCCCCATATCAGGCTCTGCAATACAGTGCAGAGCCGGCTTGGGATTCTCTCTCTGCTCCACTCCTACTGATGCATGTGCACACGTGCTCTCTCTTAAAATTAATAAATAAGCTTAAAAAAAGAGATACTGTGTAAAATTAACTACAGAAGAGACTAAGAACAGTGAGACCAGTTAGGAGACAATTGCAGAAGTCTAAATGAAGGTTCTGAGAGCCTAAATTAAATAGGAGTGAAGAAGGATAGATGTTAAAAGACAATCACAGGTCGTTGCCAATCACTAACAATAAACAACAAAAACTGTTAACATTTACTGAGCATATATTATGTAGCAAGCATTGCATTAGGCACCATACTGATGCCATTTCATTGTCACAGCAATTCTATAAAGCAGTCTTGTCTTCCAATACAGAGAGATACACTGAGGCTAGAAAAGTCATATAAATTTATCCAAGGCTAAAGACAAGGAAAATGGAACTGCTACCGTGTATGTGTTTTGATACTGGGGGTCAGGAAGTGGAGAAAGAAATGCCAAATGACTGTGATGTCTTGGATTTTTTTTTCACCCCCTCTCAATGATTATTTCATAAGTAAATATGCCATATTAGTAAATGTGTTATCTCAGGGAATGAAAAACAATCTTATCCCAGGAATCCAATTTAATTTTAAAGGAATTAGATAAATGGTTTGGATTTAACTGGCATCCAACTGTTTTTATTTTATGGGTAATTACTAAAATTACCAATGGGGAGTTTTTCCCAGTTCCAAAAGAGTCAACCCATCTTTAAGATAATCATATACCTTTCTTCCATATGGTTTTTCTACCATATTGCTGTCACTGTCAGAATTTTCACTCTGAACTGGTTTTGTGAACCCAGATTTGGGCATCTTATAGCTGTTCAGCTAGCTTCTTCTTTTGTCAGTCTTCTCATCCTGGATCTGTAAAGAATGGACATAGGAGGGTTATTTGTATACATCTGCAGTAAAAACCTACTTAAAAGTATACACCACAGTTAATGTAACTTGTTATTCTCTGTCTTTGTAAGTCCTAAAGTAAGGTTTCATTTAAGAATTTGAGCTTCTAAAGTTCTCTTGTTTAAGTCCATTCAATTTGTCACTGAAAAGAAGAAAAGAGAACTACTTTTATATTTTTTTCCACCTTCTCTAGACTAATACCTAATCTCCAGTTTTCCAGGTAACCACAAGCAGCAGAAGTGAAAGCAGTGGCAAAGGGTTTGTCATTTCAGCCTGTCTCTAAAGGTAGAAAGTTCTAACAGATTCTCTGGTAGTTCAGTATTGGTCTGGAATTTACTTCTGAAGACCCAACCAAGAATTGGATAGGTCTGGTTGGCAATTTTACCATTTTAGATTATATTTATGAAACCGTTCCAAGTTAAAATTCTTGGGAGTGTTTATTTTCCTTCACAGAACTCCCAGACATCTCTAGAGTCACTTTATCAATCTATTCATTGACTGAATTCCTACCATACTGTAATTATGTCATATATCACTTTCTTTCTAACTTGTTCAGTTTTCTGCCTCCTGCTTTGCAATAGGTCAAGGACCCTGATAGAAGCCTAAGCTTACATTTTAGACCCCCCCAAAAAAATTCCAAGCAGGGAGTTTTAAATATAAAAAGGGAAGTCACGGCACCTGAGTGGCTCGGTTGGTTAAGCGTTCGACTCCGGCTCAGGTCATGATCTCACGGTTCATGAGTTCGAGCCCTGCATCAGGCTCTGTGCTGAC